GGAGCCAGGGACGGATTGGGGATGTGGAGTTTGTTGTGGGTGAGAATACGTGTGGCAGATTATTGGATTAGCTGGATTTAACAAACCACAGCCTTTTAGTGATTTCGCTTTAACTTGACTTGTGCTGATTCCAACATTTTGACAACACAACTAACAGTTGTTGGATACCCACTCATCCATCTGCAATATCAATGGTATCATGGTTCAAATGGTAGCTGTCTCATTTCTGGTTGAAAAGTTTGTGGGTTCAAGGCCTTTGCTCAGGATTTTGAGATGACAGTCTGGGCTGACATTTCAGTTGGGAGATAGCTGTCAGAGGTGTCATCATTTGGATGAGATGTAAAATAAAGTTCTGTCTGTCTGTTCAAGTGGCAGTTGAAAAACCCATGACACTATTCGAAAAAAAATTAGTCCTAAAGTCCTGTATGACACTCCTCCGCATAACTTGGTCATTCACCTTCTAGCTTTTGGTGGGAGGTATTGGTGTGCAAAAATTGAATGTTTTTGCTACAAATACAAAGTCACCTTTCTTATCCGTAACTACTTTAAATTATTTGCGACAGTTAGATGTTATATAAATGTAATTATAATTATTATCAAAAATTGATGCATAACAAATCTGACTCATTTTCATTCTGGAATGCTTAGGTTTGCTGTTTGTCTAAAGTTTTGTAGGCTTTTCCAACCTCCTATCTCAAGAGTGTGATGTGACTAGAGATATATTTTGACATTGGTTAAAATCATTGAATGTAATTTTAGCACCTCTTGTTCAACTCATTTCTATAATATTTTTGTATGATAGCACTTCTGAGTTCTGATACTCATTTTAAATTTGTATTTTTTGTTGTTCAATTCCAATTTAGAAATATAGATAATTCTAATTTTAGAGTCTGTGAGAGAGAATTTGGATCATTCCCAAGTAGAGCACAGTTTTGAGTTGGGGAGCTTTGAGTTGAGGTGAACAGGGAGATCAGTTATTAAACAGGGACTGGCTTTCACATTCAAAAATCCTACTGTGCCAACAGCTGGGTGAGAATAGGTGATTGTGAATTGAAAAAGGATATGATAAGCACAATTCTGTATTTCTATTGCTCCCTTAAGAATAATTCAATGAAAATTACAGAGCAGCAAAATGGACAATACTACCTGCAATTACCACAATAACACTATGTAGTGAAAGAGATACCGTTAATAATGTCACAATCATTCCCATCACTAGCTAAACATTTCATTATGGCATTCATTCATTTTATTACATTTAATTTTTTTTTACTGATTTTCTCCCATTAGGAATAACCACTGGTTCTTCCCCTGAAGACACTAAGGATAATTATAATATCGCCTCTCTGTAAACCCAAGTGGACATAGTTAACTAAGCACAGATTAAGAATCAATCTAATGCTGTTCATAATCACATTGAACTTTGAGGAAGGTTATAAAATTAATTTAAAAACAAAAGGCCCCCAATAGTTAAAAGCAGGTATCTATTTATGCAAAACATATTTATTGAAACTCTACAGGTTACAATGAAAGTATAAACAGCACTCAAATTAACTCAGTGAACAGAATTCTTCAGTCATTTGTGTGAACAAAAGAGCAATGATTTGCTACTGTGACAGAGAAAATCAACACTGCATTTGTACTATTCTCTTGAGAGTTCAATGCAACAGCTGCAGCCCGATGAGGATGTTTGCAGCTGTTTATTTGGATATTCAACACTATTTCTTCCAAACCAAAGTATATGAGGAACATGCGAAACACTTCCTTCAACAATATGTACCAGATGTATTATACAATGGAATCAATAAAATGCAGAAATGAATGGGTTTCAATTGAGAGTACAAAACATTGATTGAAATATAGCTCACATATAGCTCACATTACATTTATCTGTTTGAATTATGTGAATTATGTGTTTGAAGAATATTTCCTGAGAATATTATCAGAACTGGATTCTTTATCTTAGAAAGGTTTTGTAACCTGGTGACTTCACAATAAAGGATGTTTAAATAATTTTTCTACATTGTGAAGTACAGGGTGACCAAAATGTTATGATACCCTTACAATATCTAATAAGTCTTAAAGAAATTATTATTTTTTTGATTATAGGGTAGTTTTCACAACATTTTGGTCACCCTGTATGAGATACCTTCCTCTATGAGTCAAACAGAGAAGATGTTCTGAAAGTTATTTTTAATGAAAAGAATACATTGGCATTCAAGAAATTCCCACAAATAAAAAAAATGCATCTTTTACACAGCATTCTTAAATATTCTACCAGGTAAACAGCAGCTTCAGCACTCCTTTTTATCAATCAATAGTTTTTTTAAATAATAAAATCAAAGCTTTATTTCCACATTTGTTTTCAAGTTTCTCTTGCTTCCAGATCAGAGGAACCTTTCACTGTTGCTGAGAAGACTAATAACTCCAAGACACAAAAGGCATCAAATCAGATTCTGAGAGAGGATAATTGCAACCCTGGTTTTAAAGTCTTCAATTACAATCTTGCAAAACAATAACCAGCTCAAGCAAACCTTGAGAGAACAGATTCAACAAGTAAATGGAAAACCCTGAATTACTAGGCAGGCCGTCCTTTTACATTGTTCACTGGGCAGGCAGTATGCTGTAAGTGGTAGTAAGCGCTCTGGGGCACTACAACAACCACAAGATTACATTTGTAAAGTGCCTTTCATGTTGGGAGGACGTCCCAAGGTGCTGAACAGTCAGGGATCATGACCCATGCGTGGGGGACAGGGTTGGGATTAGGGAGGGCAGAGGGAATAAGAGTGTGGCGGAAGGCACGGTCGAAAAGGAGAGCCTTGAGTCATGCCTTGAAGGAGGAAAGAGAGGGAGCAAGGCGAAGGGATTGTGGGATGGAGTTCCAAAGAGGGGGGAGAGAGGCTGAAAGTCCGGCTGCCGATGGTAGGGTGGGTCGGGAGACCTGGAGCAGGCCGGAGCCTGGTGAGTGGAGGGAGCGGACAGATTGATAGGAGGTCAGCAAGTCAGAAATGTAGGAGGGGGCGAGGCCGTGGAGGGCCTTGAATGTGAGGATGAGGATTTTGAACTCAATCCTTTGAGGGATGGGGAGCCAGTGGAGCCGGGTGAGGGTGGGGGTGATGGGGTCACAGAGCCTGGTGTGGGAGAGGACACGAGCTGCAAATTTCTGGATGATCTGCAGCTTGTGGAGGGAAGAGTTGGGGAGTTTCCGTGGTCGAGCCTTGAAGTTTCAAACCTATGTGAAGGGCGCTATATAAATGCAAGTTGTTGTTGTTATGCTATTGAAATAAAATGCTCTTTTCATTCACCGCTGAAAGCTTGGAGTGCTGGATTGAGATTGGCATAGTTTGTTGATCCAAAAATATAGGTGCAAAAAGGGGTTTGCCATTCATGGATTAGTATTTTTCTCTCTGTTCACAAGTCTTACTCTCTTTATCAATACTCCAGATTATTGCTTCTCTGAACATTCCTTTCTTATTCCTTCTAATTTCCAAATGCATCATCCTACCCAATCTTTCTCCTCCTTTCTATATCCTTACTGTATTGAACTGTCTTCTGCTTTAACTCATTAGTACCTCATTTAGGAAAACTTTCCTAGTTTCCCTCAATCTTTTCCTGCTCCTTCAAACACACTTCCAAAACTCTAGTTTCATGTCACTTAACCCCTACACTTGACTTACCTTTCCTCTTCTTTGGACCTTGATGGTGTCCTGCACCATGTACCTATGCCTAGCCTTGTTAATAAAAAATAGCTCAGGTACCTCATTACAGGTAAGCATAGTGAACATCAGAGAACAAATATTGGCAACTTCTGTCCAGTTTATAGTTCTTATTAAGGCAAACCACAAGGATTTCCTGCACCTTAAATTGCTGAAAATTAAAAAGATGAATCACAAATAACCGTTTCACTAAATATTGCAAATTCCATGGCTTTTGATACCAATATTTTAAAAAAAGGCTTCATCAACACATTTGTAAGTCTCATCCCATGGAGTGACTGACAGCTGACATGTGAAGTTCACAAACAAAAGTGCTCTGTAACCATTGGCCGAAGAGAGCAGATCTTAAACAAGTCACAATCTGCCTGCAATTTGGTTCCAGTTTGGTATTCAAGTTGGGGTTTTGTCACTCACTAAGCACATCAGAAAAACATTCTTTTATATGCTTTATATGCTCCCGTGACATTATACGCAGACATGGGGTCAGCTATCTCTCTGCCCCCAGCCTTGACTCCAGGACCACTGCTGTCCTGACAGAATGTCTGCCAGACATCAAATCCTGGATAAGAGCGAACTTTCTGACCGAAGCTCTCCTGATTGGCTCACGTCAGCACCTCCACACCTCAGGCGCTGACAGCATCACCATCCATGGATGCACACTCCACCTCACTGAGCCAGTCAGAAACCTTGGCATCTTGTTTGACCCTCAACTATTCTTTCTAGCCCACCTCTGTGCCATGACCCACTCTGCCTTCCCCCACCTCAACATCGCCCGGCTCCGATACTGTCTCATACCGCAGGCTGCCGAAATCCTCATACATGCATTCATAATATCCAGGCTTGACTATGCAAACTCCCTGCTTATCAGCCTCCCCAACTCCTCCCTCCATAGGCTGCAGATCATCCAGAACTATGCAGACCGTGTCCTCTCCTGCATCAGGCTCGTTGACTCTATCAACCCCATCCTCGCCCAACTTCACTGGCTTCCCATCACACAGAGGATACAGTTCAAGATCCTGGTACTCACCTTCAAAGTCTTGCTCCTCCCTACCTCTGCGATCTCCTAACCCCCTACCATCCTGCCCGCTCCCTCCGCTCAGCAGGCTCCAGCCTGGTTCACGTCCCCAGCCTCGCCCACTCCATCATTGGCGGACGGGCCTTCAGCCACTCTGCCCCACCCTCTGGAACTTCATCCCGCAGTCCCTCCGACTCTCCCCCTTCCTTGCCACCTTCAAGATCCATCTCAAAACCCTCCTTTTCAATCGTGCCTTCGATCACCCGCCTTCCCTCCCCACTCTCCGATCCCGACCCCCAGATCGGGTCCGTAACATTAACTGTCTAGCTCCTTGGGACGTCCTCCCGATGTGAAAGACACTATACAATTGTAATTTTTCTGTTGTTATTTACTAACAAATAAACTAGTGGGTGTGTTCCAGCAGGTTTTGCAATATTTTCTTTATGTTTATTATTATAAGAAAAGTAAAAGGAGATCTTTCAATAAATCATGAATGAGATCAACATATTGTTTAGGAAATAAGAACTGATCTTAAATGGCCTCCATTCTGCTACTATTTTTGCTTTTGAGATTTTAAAGTACTCCCAAAAGTCTTTTCAAAATATACTCACTGGATATTTCGGTATTGCTGCAGTGAGTAAAAACACTATTCAGTTCTTCATTTAAGATCTGTATCACTTCCTCATGCTTTACATAGAATTTGTTTATTCCTCTCTAGCTTGAAATTCCTCACACAATTGAAAAGGAGGGTTTTGAGATGGATCTTGAAGGTGGCAAGGGAGGGGGAGAGACGGAGGGACCAGATTACTTGCATTGTTGGTCTTTGCACCATATTCTCTTGGTGGTGGAATAACAGTGTCAACACTTTTCTCTGAGTTAAATAAATCATGCTTTGAGTTGGACACTTCCAAGCTCTTTGAATGCAATCCAAGTTGTGTCTAGTTTCTTGTGGAAACTGTATCTAGGATCAATTGCACCCTGCAGACTTCGCTAATAGGACCTTGGCTTCATCGCTGATGGATAAAACTGATAAAGGATAACAGAAGCTAGAAGGTATATTGCAAACTCCTCTCTTCTATGTGCTTGCCCTGGCTGTTCTTTAACTGAGCATGTGTAATACTTCAAGGAATTTCTTCAAAACTTATTGATCCACACTCTGTGGTTGAATCCTTAGTATTGTGCCAAACTCTTCATGTATCATTTTAAAAGGATGGAAAGAAAAAGTAGCAGAGAAAGCAGAAGATGATGAATCCAATAACCCAGTTGACAGAATAGATATAGATAATAACCATGTCCATATCAAAACGCCAGCCACGATTGTCATCCTCAAAATCCATGGAGTCCAGCCTGTAAGCTCCATGAGGGAACTGTCTCCTTGTAATGGTATCTGAATGTCTTCCAAAACCTGTGGGGTTACACAACATTAATGGCATATGGCTCATTGTTCTTTGGCGACTCAGCAGAAGCCTATCAGACTCAGTGATACTCAGAATGCAGAGGATGGGTTTGGTGCCTAATTTAATAACAACTAATTATATTGTTAAACAATTGTGCATCTGGAAATTTATCTTACCTTTTTCTTACGTATATCTTACCTATATCAAATTCCAACTTTATTAATGTGTTGCTATTTAAAACAATTGATTATTAAATAGAAGTATGAGTAATCGTCTCTATTAAACATATCCAACTTTAACACATTTTATTAAGAAATAATAAATACTATCCTTACATTTAATGTAGAGCCTTTCATATTGGGAAGCTTACTGAAGCCATTTTTTAAAGAACTTTATTGTTGGTTTATTAGTTCCAGGAACAGTGTAATGTACCTCACTTAAAAAATGTTTCCATTAACAAGGATCCTTCTTTTGAATCTCAATCCTTTAACATCTGAATAAATCACAGACCTTCAGAAACTAGCTGTAGTCAATGGGTAAGATTGCAATCTAAGTTGCTGTGAAAATGATTCCCTTACCTCCCAAGACTCTGAAAAACCTCCTGCAGCCAGGTAAAGGCCACTTTGCACAGCTTGCTTTTTGAAAGCTTTGTCTTCTGGCTAGATACTCCTTCGAGAACAAACTTTTCATGGTGTTATTCAACTCTGTAAAGCAGGGAAGAATACAAGGACATCACAACTTGATATTAATTATGTGGTCGGCATGCATAATTTCAAACTTCAGATTACAATGGTGTTAATTAAATTGTCATGTTGCGATGAGCTCCTGCTGGTCTAGTGTAGTGATGGCCACTACCTTCTCACAGTGAGGCAGATATAATCAGAGGGTTTGTTACCAGCCGACCATGAAGACTTCCCCAATCAGCAGGCAAACAACAATGGTGTAGGCCTGAAAACAAAAAGCTACTGATACAATGACACTATGGGCCGACTGGCCTTCTTCTGTGCCGTACATTTCTAGAAGTATGCCAATACTCCAACTACTACTTGTAATTATATAGTGCATTTCACAAAGTAGAACATCACAAGGTGCTTTGCAGAGATTGTGTGGATCACTGGCATGATCCAAGAAACAGGTGTTTAGGAGGGCTTTGAAGACAGGGAAACAGCGCGCAAGGCAATGAGGTTTGACAAGAGTGTTCATACAGCAGAGGGTAAGTATCTTAAATATAGTTCACTGAAGTTGGGACAGAGGGGATGAAAGTTGAGCAACAGGCCCATGCTGATTAGGAGCGGGGAGCTGGTGAAACATAGAAGCTGGGGGTCAGGATCCCTGTACTATAGCTCAGCTGAGCTGTTTGGCTGACTGGAACTGAGATTGGGCAAAGGAGGGCAGGCTCAACATTGGAGAAATTTTGTCTCAGTATGACAAAGGCATGAATGAGGCTGTGTTGGAGGTGAAATAGCAGCAAAGATGGGCAATATTCTGGAGGTGAAGGTGGTCTTAGTCAAGGACCAGATATAAAGAGTTTTAAAATTAAAAAAAACGATAGAAATTAATTGTTATTAAAAAGTGAAATGAACTTTGCTTGATGACAACTGGTAAGGCATGCCATTGGTTTTGTTTGGTAACAAGCACTGCAGATTATGTTTTGTGCTATTCTATTCAACATTTTTCTCCCCCAGAGACAAAGATGGTTTTCTTTCACCACAGGTGTGGGTTATTTTTGGTCTAACTCCACATGGACTTTCTTTCTAAAACAAGGAGGCATAGTCTTAAAATTAAAACAGACCATTTAAAAGTGAAATCAGGAATTTTTTCATTCAAAGGGTGGTAGAAATCTGGAATTTTCTCCCCCAAAAAGCTGGATCCATCCATACCTTCAAGAGTGAGTTTGATAGATTTTTGGTAGGTCAGGATATTAAGGGATATGGGAAGAAAGCGGGAAATTGGAATTGAAAGGATTAAGGTTGTTACTGATACATACTTGTCCCGATTATACACAAACACAAAATTTTGTACTGCCTTGTGTGTTTAATTCTGTCAAAGTGGCATCAAAATACTACTTGCTCCACCATCATGTTCCTTCAGGGCAGTGTTAAAATGATAGATTTTGTCAGATAGAACTGCATATTTGAAGCACAAACACCTAAGGGTTTAAGCATAATTCAAAATACTGCAGATGCTGGAAATCTGAAACATCTGAACATCTGAAAAATCTGCCTGACCTGCTGAGTGTTCCCAGCGACTTCTGTTTTTGTTTAAGGGTTTAAGCATTTCAGAGTTGGGTGTTACATCAGATAAAAAGTTCAGGTGTTGTCTGGGAACACAGTAGCTTGAGTTGTAAATATTGAGTCCTTACTAAATGTAGGCATCACATACCATTCTCATGCTTTATAGATAGAAGAGGATAGAGAGGCGATTAACTCTCAAGTGTAATTGCATGCCTCCTTGAGATTTTGGAGTTTTTATACTATTCTGAAATAAGTGCTGTCCAAATACTCAAATAGGAGACACTATGTGAATGGCTGTTCAGCAGATCAACCAGTGTTTAACAAACATTGATGCAGATAGTTTCATGACCTATAAAATATACAGTCCATTCACTTTACAATATATTCTGTGAAGCGCTTTGAGACGTCTTGAAGACTTCATAAGGCGCTATATCAAATGCAAGGATTATTATTATAGCAACAACAACAAAATTACATTTATAGAGCGCCTTTCACGTTGGGAGGACGCCTCAAAGCGCTGAACAGTCAGGTGTCGGGGCCCGAGCATGGTGTAGGGGTGGTGTAGGGGTGAGGGAAGGCAGAGAGGTGGGAGGGTGACCAAAAGCACGTTGAAGAAAAGTGTCTTGAGACCGGCCTTGAAGGAGGCAAGAGAGGAAGCGAGGCGAAGGGACCGTGGGATGGAGTTCCAGAATGTGGGGGCAGAGAGGTTGAAAGCCCGGCCACCGATGGTAGAGCGGGTCGGGCGGGAGACATGGAGCAGACCGGAGCCCACTGAATGGAGAGAGCGAGCAGGTTGGTAGCGAGTCAGCAGATCAGAGAGGTAGGAGGGGGCAAGGCCATGGATGGCTTTAAAAGTGAGGATGAGGATCTTGAACTCGATCCTCTCGGGGATGGGAAGCCAGTGGAGTCGGGGGATGGTGGGAGTGGTGGTGGCAGAGCCTGGTGCGTGAGAGTACATGAGCTGCAGAGTTTTGGATGATCCGCAGCTTGTGAAGGGAAGAGTTGGGAAGGCCGATGAGGGGGGAGTTCCCGTAATCGAGCCTTGATGTGATGAATGTGTGGGTGAGGGTTTCGGCAGCCTGAGGGCTGAGGCAGTGGCGGAGTCTGGCAATGTTGCGGAGGTGGTGGTAGGCAGTGCCGGTCATGGTGCGGATGTGGGGGAGAAAGGACAGTTCAGGGTCAAACAAGACACCCAGGTTCCTGACTGGCTTAGTGAGGTTGAGTCTGCAGCCGTGGAGGCTGATGCTGCCAGCGCCTGAGGTGTGGAGGCGCTGGCACAAGCCAATCAGGAGGACCTCGGTCTTGCTGACGTTGAGTTGGAGAAAGTTGGCCCTTGTCCAGGACTTGATGTTAGACAGGCAGTAGGTCAGGACCTCAGTAGTCCTGGAGTTCAGGGTGGAGGCAGAGAGATAGAGTTGGCTGTCATCTGCATACATGTGGAAATTTACCATGTCTGCAGATGATGTCACTAAGGGAGAGCGTGTAGAGGGTGAAGAGGAGGGGACCGAGGACAGAGCCCTGAGGAACACCGCATGAGATGGTGCGAGGGCTGGAGGAGGAGCCGTTTGCCGCGACTAAGTGGAGGCCGTGTGAAAGGTAGGAACTGAACCAGTTAAGGACAGAACCTTGAACGTTGAGGTGGGAGGAGAGGCGGTGGAGGAGGATTGAGTGGTCAACGGTGTCAAAGGCGGCGGGGAGGTTGAGGAGGACGAGGAGGCAGAGGGAGCCCTGGTCACACATGGTCAGGATGTCGTTTGTGACCTTGACCAGAGCAGTTTCCATGCTGTGGGCAGCACGGAAACCCGATTGGAGGGGTTCATGGAGGGAGTGAGAGGAGAGGAAAGAGCGAAACTGGGAGGCAACGGCTCTTTCAAGGACCTTGGATAGGAAGGGGAGGTTTGAGATGGGCTGGTGGCTAGATAGCTATGATGGGTCGAGGGAAGGTTTCTTCAGGGTAGGGGTGATAATGGCTGTTTTGAGGGGGAAAAGAACAGTGCCAGATGACAAGGAGAGATTAATGATGTTGGCGAGTAGTGGGGCAAGGAGATGGAGCAGGGATTTAAGGAGAGGGGTAGCAGCAACAGGACAGAGGATTTTCCAACTGCAGCTTTGGTATGTCTTATTTCTGGGAATCATTTCAAAAGTGGAGTGTCTCCTTCCCCACCCCAAGATGGCTTCTATTCCATCCTCAATGAAATTCAGCAATCATTCAAATTAATTAGCTCTTTTTATGCCAAGTTTACCTCAAAATAACATTTGTTTCGTATCCAGTTTAGTTCTGCAAAGCACTGAAAGATTTATTTTTCATCAAAGGCACCATATAAACGCATCAATGATTGAATCAAAGCTTTTTACTTTGATACAATTCAGCAGTAAAAGAGGTATTGTTTTCTGAGACACTGATTTTAAATCATTCTACAATATAGTTTGCATTGCAGGAAAAATCTTTACAATTTGTTTTTGTATTAAAACCTTTTTATCTACTACCTGTTTGGAAAAAGACTCTGGTGATGACGGTGCGACACAAAGGGCATGGCGTATTTGCAGGATTATCCTTTGCAAGCGTTCGAAGACAGGGCTCACAGAAGATGTGGTGGCAGGGATAACACACGTATGGACTGAAGAAAATATCCAAACACACAGCACAGATATAGCCTTCCTTCTCCCACTTCAAGTCATCTTCATCATCTGTACTTGTCATGTTCGCACTGGAAGTCTAAAAGAAAATAAAACCAGTTTTCTTCATTTTTAAAATAAATTATACATAAGTTGTTTAAAAATCACAAAAAGGTGGCCAAATCCAGAGCAATATGAACTAATATGAATTAATCTATTAATACAAAATCATTCTCTGCAGACTAGTTTCCTTCACCAAAACATCAGGCCACAAGAGCAAATGCCTATGTTATATGTTAATTTGTAAAAGGAGAAAACACAAATGGGCAACCCTCCATCCCTCTTTCAGTTTGAACAGGACAGAATACCAGGTGGGCACATCCAAGCTGAGAAGAATTTAAAGGGAAAGATATTCTGTTCCCCCACAATACTGCCAATTTGGTCATTTTGTGGGCTTTTTGCCACAAAATATACAGTGAATTTACTTTACAGTATATTCTGTGAAGTGCTTTGAGACATCTCAAAGATGTGATAAGCTGCTATATCAACTGCACGGATTATTATTATTATTTATCAAATACGTCTCCCTCAGCACAAAAGCTCCCCTTTCTATTTTCTCCATCTCCTCTTCAAGCTAGAACATCAAGTATCAAGTACAAAATACATTTGCATATATGTATAAATCTGGCAAAGAATGTAAGGTTTAGACAGTTGCCTCTTCATTTCATTCTTTTGAGCTTAGAGTATTACCCTGGCTGAGCACGTATATTCTACTCATTCTGCATGATCATATCTGTTCTTTTCAGATGCGCTCATCATGAAGCAAGTGAAAGAAAAGAAGTGTTTAAGACAATCTCAATTCAGTTTGAATAAATCAATAGCTGAAATCTTCTAGCAAATTTGGCTCTAACTAAAGATAACGCAGTCTGGTTAATGGAAATGTTCCATTAATTCCTAACATTCACGGTTGCTTTCAAGGTTGAGATTCAAGCATTTTTCAGATATGAAAATGAGTTACAAATGTTTTTTTGGTCAGAAACATGCCATCACCATGCTTAAGAGTATCCAAGCCAAACTGACAGTTCCATGTATCCCAACTATACAACATTTCATAGTTGTTTATCGGAAAGGAATGCACACTCTCTCCCTGGAGGGACTCGTCCAATAATTCTATAGTTTGTGGGTAGCAGTAAATTGGATTAAATATAAATATTAAAATATAAATTTTTAATAGTATTTAATAGTATGAGATGCAGATTGGCAAAAGCTAAGGCTCGGGGACCCCAGAGTGTGCGTTGGGCTACTGCTGGAGTCTAACCAGCTAAAACCACACTGAGAGCACTGCCTGGCAAGTTTCCTGCTGCTTGTCCAGCTGAGACCACCCTGCCTGTTAGGCAATGAGAGGGAATTTTGTAGTAATATAATCAATGTTATATTTTTCTTAGAACTGTTTAATGCTGATACCCAAGAGTAAAATGGAAAAACAAATCACTTGCAATCATTTGTTTCAGAAATAAATGCATAAATAAAAATAAAAGTACAGTAAAACCTTGATATCAATCCCATTTTGTCAAAATGTCCTCTTATCAAAGACTAGAAAATGTGTTGTAGGCAAATCCATGCACATGTATTTATAATGTAAGCAAATTGCACAATTTTATTCCTCAATTATACAATATTAATATTTATTTTGCAAATCTGGTTAAACATTCTTTTGTTTTTCTTAGTCCACTGGTTCCCATCAAGGCAAATTTTAAAAGTAGAATTCTTGAATATTGAAAGACATCCACCAGGTTCCACAATAAACAAAATAATCCTGTGTTGTTCTTGTTGATGCACTGTTTACAAAATTTCTATTTTTACAGATCAACTTGTGAATATTATGCTCCTTGCAGTTCTCTACTCCCTAACAACCTCTAATCTATAGCAGAGTTGTTTATTAAATGGCAGCTAAAATTAACGTTAGTGGGTATGAATGTTTAAGACATGGATGTTGATTAGTAATTTGCAGAATGGAATGAAGTAAAGGAAGTTATATTGAGACCCACTTGATCTCAGCAGTCTAACTAACTAATCTAAGATTTCAATACTTGCAATGTTTGCAGATCAGAATACTTAAGGACCATTGAAATGTTTGTTCTACCAATTTTCACTAAAACAATCCTTAATTTTTCGGTTAAAGTCAATTGGTAAACAACAATTTCCTGCCTGACATAATTTATAATAAATAAATTAACTGATTTATTGTTGGTGTTTGGGATGGTTGTGAGCACATCAGTTTCTGGGCATGCACACTTACTAGGGAAATGATGCAAACCCCTATAGTAATTTTGCATGCCTGCAGGTAATTTTGTGCATGTACACATCTGGATCTTTTAAAAGCAAGATCATAAGTCTTTAATACTTAGTTATGTACAGTTTAGAGTTATAGAAAGAGACAAGAAAGTGAGAGATTCAGAGAGAGATGGATAGAAAGAAAGACTCAGAGTGAATGAGAGAGAATGACTTTCAACGAATTTACTTGGAGTTTTTGGTGTTCAAATTCTCTTCCCCTCAATTTTCTCCCATTTTTTAAACCAAAAATGTGACTGAAAAAGTCTCCGTTTTTTTATTTTGTGGGCAAACACGACTAACAGTTCTTATAGATGCTTGACCATTTCCTTCATGGTTGTACTCCAGTGAGTGTGAGGATTGCATCTGACTTCTGGCCACATATTTTCATCTAAAGAAAACATTGCAATCTATGTGATGATTAGACAAGCTAGGATTATTCTCCTTGGAGCAGAGAAGGTTAAGGGGAGATTTAATAGCTGTTCAAAATTATGAGGGGATTCGATAGGGTGAACAGGGAGAAATTGTTTCCATAGTGGGTGAGCTGATAACCAGAGGTCACAGATTTAAAATAGTTGCCAAAAGAACCAGAGGGGAGGTGAGGAGAAATTTTTTCACATAGCGAGTTGTTCGGATCTGAAAGGGTGGTGGAAGTCGATTCGATAACAACTTTCAAGGCAGAAGTAGACAGATATTTGGGGAGGACAAATTTGCAGGGCTATGGGGAGAGCGGGGTAGTGGGATTAATTTGGATAGCTCTTTCAAAGAGCCAGCACAGACAAGATGGGATGAATGGCTTCTTCTGTGTTGTATAATTCTATGATTATATGAAGGCAGACAAATTGCCTATATAGGAAAGCTTCTTACTAACCATTTACAGCACCGACAGCACAAAATCCCTTACATTTGTAAAGAGTGAGAAACTCTTTGAAAATGATGCCTGCCAAAGTCACTAGGCATAGGTTATAGCTTTCACAAATCAGATCAAAAGTCTGGCAAGATACTTCATAGGAAGATGCATTAACTTCCAATGAGTATGAACCACGCATGCTGTGGAAATTATCCACATTAATCATGGATCACATCGCCAAAATTGATTCCTGCTGAGAAGCCTTGGTGTATAGAATCCATGTTCTTGAAATATCTGTCTATTTCAATTTTCAAGCTGTAATGTAAAATATTACTTCTTGAGTATAAGAAGCAATATTATTTGTGCAATAATTCTCAGTTTTCTGATTGATTCAGTACATTGTTGTATTCACTCACAGTTTCCAAAACCTTCAGGTCACATTTACAGCATTTACCTGCAATTTTTAAAAAATATATATATAACAGGATATAGCATAATTTGAAGATTAATGTGGAAGAATTGCTAAGATTTAATATTTTACTTCAATTTAATATTAAGGTTTGAAAACTTCAAGATGCTGATCCATTACCTTGAACAATCATCAGCTGGAGTAACAACTAAAATGCTGTTTGGATCTCTATGTTTATCTGTGCAATCTTGGACAATATAAATTAAACCGACAGTAGAAAGCGCTAGATTAACATGCCCAAATTTTTCCACAAGAACAAAAAAACGCACAGGATCAATACTTCTACTAAAGCCACAGGACCTAAAGTTTTAACATGTTTTTATTTGCTTCACGAATATTGGGATAAATCTGCCTCATAATAGTATTATTTTATCTTCTCTCACAGAGCCACAAAGACAAAGAAGAGCACTGAATCCTAGCTCTGGCAATTATAAATCGAACTTGAAACTATGAGTAGAATGATTTCTGAGGTTCTGATCTCAATTAATTCGAGGGAGGCAAGTTGCATTATGATTACCAGTCTGCTTACTGATGTGCTGTTTTATTTTGGAAGGTTTGATTCATTCAAATAGATTTGATCAGAATATTTGTGTCACACTTCTGTGAAGCTACTTTAATCAGAATTTTCTCTTATCTATGGTAGTGAATTTCCTTGTAATGGGCCATTTGTTTGTGCCACATACAGTCACAATTTAATCATAAACTGAACAATGACATGAAGGGATAAAATGGTAACAGAAGTTCTCAACACTTACCTCATGACAAACAAAATCATGTACATTAAATGACCGGCAAACACAATTTGATTTCTAGTTTATAGGATAACATTTTTTTACCAAATAAAAAAGCACATAATAAAGCTGTAATCCCATGAGTCAGATGTCAAATAGGTGTGAATGCCAGAAATGAGAATTGAACATTTAATAATATCTCAGAGCCTTTACAGAGCTAGTGTCAAACACCAAGTGGGGGGGTGGGGGGAGGGGGGAGAGACTCAGAAGGGGATTGGAAGAGGAGGGAGGTGACTATAGTCACGTTAAAGACGTAGGTAGATTTGAAGATGGAGACTGAAGGATTGAGCCATGGAATTCCAGAGGGTGGGGCAATGCGAAAGACGTGCAGCAGGTCTGAGTTTGGCTGAGTAGTTGGGGCAAGCAGAAGAGTGAGGCTGGATAAGATAACAGAGGTGGGGGCTGAGGGTATGAAGAGATTTGTAGGTGAGGGTGAGGAAGGGTGACAAAGTTGTGAATGAAGGTTTTTAGCAGCATTGGGAGTGAAATAGGCGCGGGGACAGGTAATGTGGTAAAGCTGCAGAAAAGAGATCTTGGTCACAGCTAGTTGTGAAGGAGGAAACAGCTGAACCATTGCACTAAATGCCAATGTTGTGCATTGGTTCAATGAGTTGGAGAGAGAGGCCAGGAAGCTTGTGGAAGAGAATATTGGCAGGAGC